TTTTTACTAAAAAGGTCTTTTTTTGCTTTTAAAATGACTACACTTTAATATAAACATCAGTAGTTTGTATATATACACATTTTAGTTGTTAAAATATATATATAGTGGCTAATTTTTACTTGAAAATTATTCTTCATTACTAACTTTTAGTATATCACTTATATGAATACATTAAACTTCACTTTATCCCACTTGGACTCTGTAAGAAAATTCCTTTTTAAATTTATTTCTACTTAATACAGTGTAAGGTTTTGCAGAAGCTTTTAGAGATTTGGGGCGGGGAGAGTTTGTCTTGTTTTTATTTTTATTTGTTTTGATGTTTTAGTATTTATCTCTTCATACCCAGATTGATCCACCTACAAATACTATCCCCAACAGCCATCTACCTCTTACTGGAACTGTGAGAAAGAGATGACTGTAAAATAACCCAATGGGTTATGAAGTTGAGGCCTCAGGGCCTCAGCAACCTTCTTTATGAAGGAGGTTGGGATTTTTGTCTCTGTGCTCTGGTATTGATGTTAAGAAAATGCTAAGTAAAATAGTTAGCTATCAATTGACACAATTTATTATTACTGTCCCTCTTTTTCTATCCCATAGCTTGTAGCCATGGAGCTTGCTTTCTCTTTGAGTTGAAGTTGTCCAGTTCTGACCCATAGAATCATACTCATTCCAGCAATTCTTCTTATAACTACTGAGTTTTAAATACTAAGATGATAATAGTAATAGCTATTTTTAGTCTCAATGTTCTGGGTGCTTTACATACATTAACTTATTTTATCCTCACAACCTGTGAGATAGGTACTTGTTACACCCATTTTATAGATGAAATTGAGGTGTACAGAAGGGTTTAAAAATTGGCAGAGCCACTTGTACACCTGTGGTATCTACTAATGGTAAAATCTTTCAGTTGTTTGTAACATCTCATTCTTCACATTCCCCAGTGTTAGTTTTCTACTGCTTTAAATTCTTACTGCTGATGAAATATATAACATTTACTATTTTTTTATTTAAAGGTGCCATATTTTTAAGTGGGTGAGTCCCACTGAATTTACCCTTTTTTCATACCTCCAGTAGTGTAGCAGTTAAGATACAAGGATATCATGGAAAAACAATTAAAGATATTTCTTTTTGAATGTGGTAGGGTCATATTATCTGCTTAAAACCACTTAGAGATATTTTTCCAGAAAAGATTCACATGTAAGATTTTTTTTTCTTAATCAGTTGCCCACAAATTGAAACTGCTTATCTTTGGCTTTTTTTGAAAAGATTCACATGTAAGATTTTTTTTTCTTAATCAGTTGCCCACAAATTGAAACTGCTTATCTTTGGGTCTTTTCTTTTTCTTTTTTCATCATGCTGTTAAAGGTATCTATGATAATAGATAAAGGTTTGATAAACCAGCAGTCAGAAATGACTCAGTGTTTATAATTTGACATGCATACTTAGATATGAATTTGAATTTAGATAGACCTTATCACAAAATATTTGTAAGTTTGTAACTGGATTGCTATTTTTATGACTAGTCTTACTAAATCTAGTCCTATTAACCATTTTTGGCATATTAGGACTATGTACAAAATTATAGAACATTCTCATTGTCTCGATACCAAAGAAAGGACAGGCTGACTGGTATTGTTCATATCAAGTTGCGTTAATGTTATTTAATGTTATAATGTTATTTTTTGTTATATATTTATCACTTTATAATATTTAAATTTTGGTAAAATCAGTCTATAGCAGATGGATGATACAAGATTAATCCCATTATCACTGTTTTGAAAATATTATTCCAATACAGTTTATTTTAAAAGTTTTGCATAATGAACATATTCATAAATCCCTATCTTTGGGTAGTAGTCAACCTTATTTAAGACATGTCTTCAGGTATTGTATTTTTATATACTAATTTTTTCTTATAGCATTATGCATTATTTTTAAACTTAACTTTTTTCAAAATATATTTGGTTTAGTGATAGAAGATTAAAACTATAGTGTAGATAGAGTAATTACTATATATTTGGAAGGACATACGTATACCATACTGAAATGAAACTTTTGGTCTATCTTACATTTGGGGACTGCATGGTTTTTGAAGAAGGATAGTTGGTGAAATACTAAGTAGAGAATGTAGAAAATAGGGAGTAGGCAGCTCGGGACAGGAATCTTTGTTATTAGGAGAAGAAAATGGAGTTAAGAGCATCCGTGGGATAGATTTTGAAGCATTTGGAGGCTTGCCTGTGTGTGCATCTGTACATTAATGTATCTGTGTGACCTAACACAATAAGTGACTGTAGTCTCAAAGTGTATAATACATACCTTACAATTGTTCTTTATTTCTTTCCTGCTGGACAAGATGTAGTGCTTCTTGACTTCTATAAATTTCTGCTTTAATAGATCCATCCAAATGACTTAGACCGTGCTGATCTTATGGCTCTATTTCTATTTTTCTTTCTGAGATTTTGCCTTTGCAGTACATGGCAGTACCTCTAGTAGTCCCAGTCCTACTCCTGCTCACTGTTACTTTGTACCTTTCTCACTAAACACCCCAAATTCTTGCTTAGAGCTTTTAATCCTGAAACACCTTCTTGTTCCAATGGTGACTGTTGTGAGAATAGGAACTTTTACAGTCAACAGTTACTATATTCTATTCTCATGGTAAAGAAGCAGTCTAGTAGCAATATTGCCCCATCTTCAGTGCCACCTTTCATCCCAGTAAATAAGCATATTTTGAAAGTAATGTCAAATTTAAGAAGTGTTTTATATTTAAATATAGTCAAAGTAGTCTAATGCCTACTGAAGTTACAGTTTTGACCTAATCTGGAATTCACTGTGTAAGAAGTTGGAAAACATCCCCTTTGTACAGTGTTCCACTTACTATGCTTGGATAATATTGTTAAAATAGAAGTATTCCTCTACAATAGAAGTGTGTTAGTGTTCAGAGGAAATAAATTACAGAGGCCCTTCTTCTCTTCGTTTACGGTATGGAGCAGGTGATAACAGGGATATTGAAAACAATTATACATACGCAAAAATGAAATAGTTTTGATTATTAAGTGCATGTAAGTGATAAACCATCTTAGCAACAAACAAAAGGCTCTTGTGATTCATAGTTTATCATCCTCGAGATGAGGTAATTTAAAAAAGTATTGGCAGAATTGATGTGTTTTTTTCTTATAACCAGTCTATTTTGAAAAGACCCATAGTTAATAAAAAAAATGATTTTGCCAGTCAAGGTAGTAATATATCTGAAATCTATCAGTTACTTGGATTACCAAACAAACAAGGTGTGTGGTTTTCAGTCAAGACCACAAACTGCACCAAATGTTTCAGGATGAAAATGTTAAAATTAATTAGCAACTCTAGTTAATTTTTTAGTACCGCATCCTAAATGATAGTGATTGAATACTGAGGATTGGTTATTTTTATTTGCCAGAGTTTGGGGGGCAGAGGGCGTCTGGCTTATTTTGTTTTTGACTAGTCAAGAAATTAAGATAAAATGCCTTAATAGGATTAAAAACACGTAAACTTATCATTCTAGCCCAGAGGTGAGGTTAGAGTGATAGTGTTAACATGTTAACAATTGTTCAAAATTTGTCTTCCACGAGTGATCAGTTCTTAAGGAAATTCAGTAGTTGTCCTTGTGTAGTGTTGTAGGCTTGTCTCTCTCTGTGTCTTTATTGCTATATTAACTTATGGCAGTTCTATTTCTTCTGCTTACTATATATTTGGCATTATCTTATTGCCCTTTGGGCTTTGGAAATTGCAAAGATGGGTAGTACATAGTCCCTACCTCCTAGAATTCTTTGCATGATTTCTCTTCTGCCCTAAAACATTCCTAGAGCTAGATTTTTATCCTGAGGGCATTTTTATATGCATGTGTATTGATGACAATCTCCATGAAGCCTAGCTTTTGAATTTGCTGCCATCACAGTTTTTTAATCTGAATCCAGTGAATCTGGTACATAGTTGTTTGACAGATATTTGTTGTTCGTGGTAGTTGAAGTTAATAATCACCTTTGGAGTACAAAATTTTCTTTTTATTAAATTTTGTCACAAAAGGAATATAATGTAAAAGAATAAAAATCTTTTGTAAATCAGCTTAGTGGTTCTCATGACATACATATCTGTGCTTTTTAAATATTGGACTATATTACAAGAGCTAGATTAAATGTAGGCAAAAAGATAGACACAGAAACAAGAAAATAATGTATATAAGGCAGTTCTTTGGGTAACTGTTGTTTGACTATTACATTTTCTACCTCAAGTAGCCCGGTAGTGCTAATTTATTTTATTTATTTTTTAGGCGAGGCAACCCTTGGTTGACCTCACAGATTGCAAGGACCTTTTCATCTTATAATCCCTTTTTATTATTTTTTTATTATTATTATTTTTATGCCTATACCGGTAGTGCTAATTGAAATACTACATCCGAATCAGTAAATGTAGAACAATAACATCATTTCTGAAAAATTCCAGGTATTTAAACCCACCAATCCAAACATCTCTTTCTTGAACATTACTTACCATAATAGCAATTTAAAGTAAAGGTATTCTTATGTAATTGTTGAGAAGAAATTCTGAGTAATTATTGAGGAAGGTCATTGAGACAGGTCAGCTAGACATGGACACACAGCCTGCCTAATAATTGGATGGATGCTACCTGGCTGGAAGATGGAGCTGATTGGTGGATCAAAATCTCAGAGGGAAATCTTATATTTTTAGTTTAAATGTTTATTAAAATTATATTCCATGAACTATTGTATGCTGCTGTTTATTAAAAAGTAAAATGATCACCAATGATTATTACTACCCTACCAAAAGGTTGTTGTAAGTGGTTTTTGGTATGTGAAATATATTTGGTTGAGTGATATTTAGGAAACTCAATTTTTTTAAAAATATGAACTTTATAATATATCCAACGTTAGAACACAACGTATCTTAAATAAGTTGTTTCTATTTTATATATTTATTTGCTGAAACCTATCTTTGTATTTCTTCAGGTTTATGTAAGATTAAGGCCATTCTTCAGGGAATTCCTGGAACGAATGTCTCAGATGTATGAGGTAAGCATACATTAGCTAATTACATAAATATTTTTATTTTATTCAATATAGTACCCATATTTAGATCATGTATAATGATTACTTCTTTTCCCCTGAATTTGTAGATCATTCTTTTTACTGCTTCTAAGAAGGTGTATGCAGACAAGTTACTGAACATACTAGACCCTAAAAAGCAACTGGTCAGGTAAATTCAACTAAGAAATAGTGGAAATGTCTGTCACACTGATCTATGAAATTACTATGATTATATTTAATTTTCATGGCCATTTTCATTTGGCTGCATATATAGAGATTTGTTGTGTTGAATGGTGGAAATAAATGAACTTTTTAAGCCCCAAAATTCTTTAAGAGTTCCTAATGATAGAACTCTGGACAGACGTTCTTTAAAGGATACAAAAATCAAATGTATTTATTTATTGTTACATCCATATCCTCACTTCGTTTGGGATTGTGGGGAGAGTGGGGGTATGTGGAATTTTTCACTGTGTGCATGATATTTCACTTCCTTATGTCTCTGAGATAATGCATGTTATGTCACCTTTTTAATGGCATAGAGAAATAAAAGTTAATTTTAACAGAAGGGATCAAATTAAACTTTGCTTTTTTTAAGAGCAAATTTATCTTCCATTGAAAGAAAATGTTAACATGAATTTAACTGGAAATTGCAGTTGGCTTAGTCATTCAGGTTATCCTGATCTGCACTCAGTTCATTGTGTGTGTCCTGAGCCAGCAGATGAATTTTGTTCCTGATCAGGTGGGGAGTGTCTTGGGTAATTTTAAAACATTTTGAAAATTAGTTCAATAAGATATTAAGACTGCTGCAGTCTTGCTGCATCATGTAAGATGTATGAGTTAATCTTTTGGGTTTTTGACCAAGAGCTGAGAGAGATGCCACGAAAGGCTTGTAATAGCTTTCAGAGCTAGGTATTCATTTACTTGAATACGTTCTCCTATTTTGTCTTTATGGAAAATCTTTAATTTCTACTGTTACTAGTAACTTTATTATCGAGTGTTTACAACTATGCTGGAAGGCTTTTCCTAATGCCCACTTTTAGGAGATTTTCTTTCTTGTAAATAGAACTGTCTTTTTTAAATCTAAATGATTAAAATTTGTTTTTTTTAAATCTAAATGATTAAAATTTGTCCTAGTTAGTTTCCATTTTATCTTTCATATAAGCAAGCTTCAGACATACAAAATAGGAAATATTTTCTTTTCATAAAAGCATATTATAATTCTCATTTTACCTAACTTTAACAAAAGTATACAAATGATTTTATTCTGATCATTTCATTCATTAATGAAGATTTCTATTCAGTACCTCCAAAATTCCAGGGAACAGTGGTGACCAACACAAACCCTTCCTCTCTTGGAACTTTCATTTTACTGGAAGAGAAATCGTAGTCAAACTAGTTTTCTAAAATTTTATTTAGGAGTTTCAATTTGTTTTATCTTGTTGCTTTTTGAAAAACTTAAAAACTTTTGAACACTATATTGAATTCATTAGAGGGCAATAGGGAATTATCTATGTTGGTGATAAGGTGGACTTAGAAATTCCGATGATCTCTGAATCCTTTGAGTCCAAATGCAAATTTGATGACTAGCAAAAGTAATTTCTTCCTAAAACTGCAAATACATGCTATTGACCCTCAGATTTCTTAATAACTGGAGAGGTTTTAGTATAAATTAATTAAAGTAACTGTTAGTATCCACATATATATTCAGTTGTCTCTGGTCTCAGGTGATTTTGCTGCTACTGGGAAAGCATCAATAGTGACTTACATGTACATGCTTTACCTGCCTCTCCAATTTCCTTATATCTCTAAATGTTTATTCACATAAAATACAGAATCTTATTTGGGCCCAACCAGGACCTATATTTTCCAAGTTGGATTGTCTAAACCTTTTAGAGGTAGATGATCATTAATTTAAAGTATGCTTTATAATAAGGGGGAAAGAACTATTTATTTATATTAACATTTTGTCTGGTTGTAAAATTCTTATTCTGCCATCACCACTGGTACTGATACTTATAAGGTTGAGTTTTGGGGGCTTTTGTTATCATTAGAGATATGACAGATTTTATTGGTAGAAAATTCCCCTTTCTTGAAATTGCATGATTAAAAATGCAGGTATGAGTAGGCCTTAACTCCTCAGTGGGATTAAGACACAAGGAAGCCAAACTACCAAATTATTAATATATACAAATGGAGTGTTTCAAAGTGATCTGTATCAATTATTAGCAATATTCAGAGACTAATATTTTAAGTGCTAAGTGAAGATTATTTAATTATTACAGTATATAAGTATTATAAAATTTTTAATAGCTTTTAAAAATGATAATTTTTCCATTTAGTATCTATCATTGGTGAAACATCAATTTATATTTGTTATACTTAAATCTGAATTTATCATTTCATTCAATCCTTGTTTTTTCAAATGATCATATACACACTAAATTAAAAGAAAGATGAGTGTTTGGGGAAAGTTGAAATGATGGAATGTTTTGGCCTCCACACTTTTTCTCAAAAACTATAAGAGAAACTAAAGACATTTTTTAAAAATGCTAACACAGAAACATTCCTTCTTATATTTTCTATTCTGGCATGTACCAAGGATAGGGAGGCCGTGTGGTCTTCTGGTTAGAGCAAAGGACTAGGAGCCAGGAAGATCCTGGGTTCCAATGCGGGGCTAACCACTGACTTACTGTGTGACCTTGGGCAGGTCACTTGACCTCCTTGTGCCTCAGTCAACCATCTGGAAAATTGGTTAAAAAGCAGGACCTCGCTGACAACCAGATGCTGCATCTGAACTGAGCTTTCCTGGATAAATAAATTACAAAAACAATTTACAGAGTTTTTAATCCCTCTTTATAATTTACTATAACATTTTGGGATAAACCACAGTTCTTTAAGAAATGGTAATATTTGGTTGTAAGATTTCAGTAATTGCTAAGAATTTTTACAGTAAAACTGTAGCCCAAAGGTTAGGCCCACATATGTATTTGAATTTCCTTTGTGAGACAAGAATAATAAGGTTTATCTTATAAAGCCTATAGTATCTGTAAGTACATACGTTTTAATATATGTTGTACTTTTTAGAGTTTATTTTTTAATTTGTGTTTATTTTTATTTAGGCACCGACTTTTTCGTGAACATTGTGTTTGTGTACAAGGAAACTATATAAAGGACTTAAATATCCTTGGAAGAGATCTTTCAAAAACTATAATAATTGACAACTCACCACAAGCCTTTGCATATCAGGTAGGAAGAGGGTTGCTAACAAATTCAGATTGAAAGAAAACACAATGAGGACAAATGCTACCAAACAATTTGATGGGAGAACAGAATTTTCACTGGTGGAGTTTCTCTGTTTAGTGTCACCTTTAGAATTAGAGATGCCAAATTGCTATATTCCTTGGAAAAAGTTTCTTTTAAATGAAGTACAACATACAGAAAAATCTGAGTAGTAAATCTGACACGAAAGGACTATAAGGTATACATTATTTCATACAGCGGTCCCCAACCTTTTTGGCACCAGGGACCAGTGCTCCTATGAGAACCTAATGCTTGATGATCTGAGGTGGAGCTGAGGCGGTGATGCTAGCACTGGGGAGCAGCTGCAAATACAGATGAAGCTTCACTTGCTCGCCTGCCACTCAACTTCCTGCTGTGCAGCCCAATTCTTTACCGGCCATATACTAGTACTAGTCCATGGCACAGGGGTTGGCGACCCCTGATTTAATAGCACTCTTACCAGTTGTTAAATCAGCAACCTAATTGTAAGCATGTTTGAGAATTACAATTAGCTTAACTGTTCTTCTGGTCATTTTGATTTGACATTCTTCAGTATTTTCTTAGACTATTTTGTCAATATATTTGTACCCTTTGTTAATGATTCTTTGAAATATGTGAAATATATCTTACAAGCAATGAGCCATCCTTGCAAGATATACTTTACATTATGAATATGTTCACATGATATGTCTGAGATTTCCTCCACAATATATCGGTGTAGAATGGGGATCGTGGACAGTGGGTTAGGTGTAGATGGAATAAGATTGACCCTTAACTTCTGTGTTTCAAAATGTCCATAATAAAAAGAAAAAAAAAAGGAAAAAACTGCATATGGTATTGAAATATGTTCAGTTTAGGTCACTACTTTTACTTGCTTGCATTTTGAATTACGTTTTTAAGAATTTCTTCTTGGTTCCTAAATAAAATCATTTCAGTTATACTCCACCTCCAAGACAATGTTCTGTGTAAATGTTTAAATAAAGGTATTTTATCCTAGAGATTATTTACTATATAAAACAAATATGGTTTGCATTCTTGTTTTTAGACTCCTCTTCAGTGAAATAGCATCGAGTCAATTTGTTATGTTCCTACCATTTCAGATTATCCTATTTGTTGAGAATAAAACAATGAATGGGGTGTAGTCCCCGTGTAAAACTATATGCTTTCTGATAATGTTCTCTGTTTAGATTGGCAATACCCATTCATTCACAATGCCTTACATTGACTAATAGTAACTATTTCTTGAATAAATATTTCTTGAATAAAGGAATGTTTTTAGTTATGTTAATGCAAAACTTGTTTTAATGGATCTTTCTTGTTTAGTTTTATAAACACGAAAAAAATTGCGCTGAAAACCAGTTAGGCTCCATTTATTTCTTCTTTTAAGCTTTTCCAAAGTAGGCAAAATGTAAGCCAAAAAGGACTTAATTACTTATTTATCATTTTAGCTATCTAATGGAATCCCTATAGAAAGCTGGTTTATGGATAAAAATGACAATGAACTCCTAAAATTGATTCCATTTTTGGAGAAGCTTGTAGAACTGGTAAGTATGTCTTATTTACCTTTTTCTGTTATTTTTTGTTGCCTCAACTTTATCGAAATAAATCTTTTAAATTGCTTTACATTATGTATACTGACTTTTTAAATCAACATTGTGGGAGATTAGGGCAAAGATTAAAAGAATTACAAGCATTTTTGAACCTTATAAATTATATTAAAATACTTATCAGTATTTAAAAATTTATAGATTGAATGTTTATATTTCACTGGGCTTCCTCTTGCAAGTCACTGACTAGTTGGGTTAAATCGATTTTGTTTTGCTTTTATAGTTAAGGTCTAGAATTATTGCTTATGCTAACTGAAACTTTATTCTGGGAATTTTTTTCCTATATCCATGCATTAATTTTAAAACTAATTATAAAGTAGAATTCAGTGGCTTAACACTTCTACCTAGCTTTCAGTTTGGCCTTGATTGCATAATTGTTCTTATAAAATTAAAACTTTAATGACGTTATTAAAATCTAAATTTAATACTAAATTAACTGCTTCTGTGTAGTACATTTATGTATGGCAAACAAATGATATAAGTTGTAAAATAAACAGTGATATACTTTTCTGCAAAGTAAGAATGTTCATAGTGATCTGAGGATGATATCTTTGAAATTATATGGCCTTTAAAATGTCTTTTTCTCCTCACAGAATGAAGATGTTCGACCTCACATCAGAGACAGATTTCGCTTGCATGATTTGCTGCCCCCAGATTAAGTACAGACTTGTCAAATCACTGAAGGGGGAGAGAATGCAGGACCCTTTTGGACTAAGACAAAACATTGCCATTACTGTTGAAATTTTGCATTTTTGTACCCCGTCTTGCTTTTCTTATCTTTGGTGCCCAATAATAATCAAGGGTTACAGAAAGAGACTTTATTTCAGATTGAATACATACAGTAGGTAGGCTAAAACAGAAGAGTCTTTAGAACTAGTGCAACTCCAGTGAAATTTTTTTATGTACAGGACATCTGCAGTTTATAAAGAATTCTGTTTCTGCCACCAGCAGTTTGACCTGTAGTCACACAGGATTTTATGATAATAACAGAGTTGAAAATGGACTTTTATTTTCTCTCTGTTTGGTGCTCTAAGTGGGTTTGTAGCCACTTTTCTGTTACTTTAAGATTCTCATTTCAACAGGAATGGCCAGTAAAAGTTGTTTTATTTTTCCTGTTAAGGTTTATAACCTTTTTACATTTTTGACCTGTATTAGATTAGAATTTCATTATGCATTCCTTTTAGTTGAGGCGCTTCATAGTTTTCTGGAAATAGTCAATTTTTAGTTTTTTATTATACATTTGAATGGCCGTTTTCCTGCTTTGTCTGCCTGCATATTGTATATTTGTTTAAAAATATTCTCTACTTTTAGTCCATGTAAGTTTCATTTAGAAAGACATGCATTTATATTTTGTTTCTGTAATATTCTACTGTAGGTGAAATCTTTTCAGAAATCAAGAGACTGGGTAGATAAGAATATATGAATGACTAATATTCAAAAGATTTAAACCATTGTGATGGCATGTGTTCCCAAATGGTAATATCTTGGAATGGCACACAGATTTAATGGATAAAGGTATACCTCAGACTTCACTGTGCTCACCAATCTTTGAGGAGAATGAGTTTGGTCACCTGTTGGGCTTGATTTGGTTACTGCTGCCTTTGGTTTCCTCCAGGAATGCAGTATTCTGCACAGCGACTCAGTATTTTTAGTTATTTTGCATGGGCTGGTAGTACCTCTGTTATGCTCTCGGTTACAATCAATTTAAAACTCTGTGTAACAGTCTTGGTACCTTACAGTAGCTATGCATAATCCTGTGGCACAGTAAGCTCCCAAGCCACCGATGCAGTTAATATGCTCTCATAGTGGTTTTCTATGCTATATGAAAATAGTCTTCAAGCCTTGGTTCTCTAATGCAGCTACCACAGGAGGCTGATATTTTTATAGTGGCGTGTAATCTCCGTTTCGGGAGGCTTTTTATGGAAGGTAGAATTTGTAAAAGTTAGTATGCTTTGCCTCTCGACTGCATTAACATGCCACAGGCTCAGACTGTTTTTGTGTAAAGGATGTCAAAGAACGGCACTTTTTCTAAAGAGAAGTTTGATATTTTGTATGCTTGTTAAGAAAGTACAGTATTGGAAATTAAAGGTGGACAACTGATAATTGAGGAGTATGTCACTTAATTTTTTATGTATATTACCTGTTTACTTGTACAACTTATTGTACAAATTACATGCAGCTTCATTTTCAAATGAATCCTTAAAATAAGGAAATCTTTTTAGGAAAACATTTAATTTTTGTATTTTTTGATTTTAAAGGCATGAGTTATGTCAATTTTCAGTGTATTAATGAAGATTTTAACTTTTCATCAGGTTGAGTGTTTTCTTACTATATTATCTGTTGTGTATGTAGTTAGCATATTGTGTCACTGAACTGTTTAAAAATCTAGCATGTAGAGCAAGCCTGTTTTGTGGAAAATCCTTATTAAAAAAATAATCATGGCAGATTTTCTGCAAAAAAAAAGCAGAAGCATTTGCAATTCAGAATACTGGTTTTTTTGTTTTAATTTAAAGAAAGGTATTTTGCTTGCAGGAAAAAATACTACAGATTCATTTTAATGAGAATCTTTGAAATGTATTTATCTTTAGGGCATCTGGGCATCTTTATGCTGTTTGTCTTCTGTCTTTCTTGAAATAAAATGTACATACGTTACCTTTACATATGCTCTTGCTCAAGATTGTGAACCTAGTTACATTTCTCCTTGCTCCCTTTTTATGCTCAAACAGCAAAACCCAAAACCTATACAAGATTTAAACTTTCAGCGTGCACTGTAATTGCTGAAAGCTTTTCCGATTAAGTAAATACCATCTCAAAGGGCTTTCCCATAACTTAAAGGGAAATCTAAGCACCTATACCATTGTGCCTGTGGGCACTTGAAATAAACACCAATTTTTAATCATCTTTTGTTAATTGTAAAGCTACTGTCAGTCCCGTGCTAAGGAGAGCTCCCTAAAGTCAGTAGACAAATGAATCAAGCATAACGAATTTTGTAAAGAATAAACTAAGGGAAATTTTGTATGGCCTGAGAAAATTTCTTGAGACCAATTTAATATATTTTTCTTCATTACTTGACTTGAGTCACTTTAAATTTAATACAAAATTTAAAATAATTTATAAAGAGACAACTATCCAGTTTTCTTCTACATTACTATAAGTAATGTTTTATCTTTTCATTACCCCTTCTTTGTAGATGTTATCTTAGACACTTCCATTTAGTTAAGTGGAGGTGTGTATTTTATGAACTGAGACGTGCCCAGCCCCTTCAGTTCACACAGGAAACATGAATTCTTAAAAACTGACTGTAGTAAATGCAGGAGAGATGGATACCTGTTAAGACAGCAAAAGTGACCTATATACACATTACAACTCTGAAGTACATAGAATTGTGATATTTCCAGTGATAAATGTCTGACTTTTAAGACATTCTTTTAAATATTTGTATTATTGTTAGGATGTTTTAATCAGTTGTGTTTTTTAATTCCATGTAATATATATAGCCCTAGTCAGATTTATATCATCAAATTTATCCTTGGGTCTTAAAAGAATTGATAGCAATTTGAAACCATAAATTGTTTTATATTAGCTAGTATGTATATTTATTTACCCAGTGGCTTTATCTTGTTTCCCAAAATTGGGGGGAATTTGTTGAAAGCATTGTAACTTCTATAAATGACTATTTTCTTGTAACTGTCAGTGAAAATGTATGTGTACATCGGTTTTTTATATTCCCTGGTTTTTCTGGTTTATTTGTTTTGTTTGTTAGGGTTAAACATAGAATGGTTTTTAAAAAAAGTTCTTTGGTCAATGACTTTTCAGCTAGATGTTATTCTCGTTAAGTCTTCTAAAGAAGTTCATTTTTCATTGTTTTGTTCAGTCAACTTACCTGAAAAACAGAGACTTCATCTCATCAGTGAAGAAAGCATTTCATTATTCCTACAAATCTTTACAGCGAGCACAGAATTCTTCATAAGGACCAGATCTCTTCCACGTCTTGTGTCAATCACATAAAGCTGAAACGTAAAGGACACTGAAGCCTTCATTTAATTGTACTAACATGATGGTGTTATATACTACATCATTAGCTAGTTAAGGTTTTCTGACCTGATTTCTCTTTGTCTTCCTAGGTATTTATTTGTTATCTCTTTTACTCTTGTGTATCTAAAATTAACTTAGTTAATAGTTACCCACCGAATAACTATGCCAAGCAACTAGGAAAGAATGTTTATTTTATTTCCCCTTATAGGGGAAGAGTGGACTGGGAACAAAAATGTATGGGCCAAAAGGCCTTAGGTTGTCATTCATTCACTTTCTTATTCCTCTCATGACCTATATTTGAGTATAGTATTTTTTCAGCTGATGTGCTTGATTATGTCATTACTTTTCATGTCTTCCCTTTAGTTGAAAGCCTGCTAGGAACCTGTATAAAATACATTTAAAATATTCAGAATAAGAACCACAAGACTCAGTATCTTATATTTAAATGCTACTTAAATTATTGGAATCCAAGTCTCACTCACTAGGATACATTTTTATAAAATGTTTCTCTGTATCTTGAATTGAAATTACTTGCCCAGAGGCAAGAGTTTTTGGGATATAATGTGTTTTGAGAAATTTTTTAAAAGAAGATAAGAGAACAACAAGTTTATACTTACTTTATGGTTTTGATATTAGTTAGTATTTTAAAATACTCAGTGGTTCCCAAACCTGACTTTTCATTGGAATTATTCTGAGCTTTTCAAATACAGATTCCTGAGGCCTAGCCCCTGCAAAATTGTCTCATTGGGTCGAGAGTGGGGCCTGAGAGTTCTGTGTTTTTTAAAAGCTCTCTCCAAGTGATTCTAATAGCCAGATTTGGGAAATCACTGTTTTAAATGTGACGGTGGTTTGAGGCTAGGCAACAAAATAAAAGTTTACCAGACATCTCTGTGGTAGAGTTTTTTTTTTTTAAAGTGGGACCAGATTTCACAGAACTTAGTCAAGATACATGGAGGAATATTAAAGAAGATCAAGGCTACTGCTCATTACCATTCTTTCATACTTTTAAGAGTTTGCATTTCTAGCACTTGGAATAGTTATACACAACTGAAGGACATATCCCTGAATGAGACCATTATATATATTAACTGTAAAATATTTCACTATTTTTTTATTTTATAAATCTTTGTAGAAATAAGCAATGAAATACTACTTTCATCTCTTGAGAAATGGGATTTTTCAAGGCAGTGTCCTTTTGGCATTCAGGTAGGAGGATGTTAATATTCTCTCTGCCTTTCCATGTGAATCAATATGAAGTCATGGACATTTAAAAAATCTCAATTTAATTTCTACATCTTTACTATGCAGTATAGCCATGAACAAGTAATGTAGATTTAGTTTTCTCATCTTCAAATGCCCTGATCACCCTACCTCACAGGGTTGTTGTGGGGATAAATAAAACTTTTATGGAAGCACTTTCCTTTGATGATATTTTATCAGCCATTAGAAATAATGTGATGTCTTACATATGCAGTCATCTTTTTGCTTACAAGTATGTAGTTTTTTCACATTACTTTCCCTTTTGATATCCAAGATAGACCTGTAAGGATCATAGAGTAGGTTACAGATAAGGAAACAGCTCACAGGCTGTAACCAAAGACCTCAGCTATTCTGGGAGATTCGAATTCAGGTATCACTACAACATGCTATTTCCCAAAGCCTAGGCATTCTTGTATAAGCATGTCTGTACAGAAATAGTTTTCTCAAGTCTATAAATCAGTTTAGCCAATAAAATGTTCTTATAAGGAATGTAATAACTCAATGTAAAAGTTTGTGGTACAAGCTAGACCTCTAGAGTTTAAGATAGAATTTTTAAACTAGGAAATTCCAACTTCCAAGTGTGCCTCTTTATTCTACAGGTAATGAAGGAAATGTGCCTAGAAAAGTGTCTTCCCAACAGCTGGGAATTCAGTCTAGGTCTCTTAGTTATCGTTGATTTTAGGAAAAAATAACTTGATTTCTGGAACTACTGTGTACAGAGGTGGAGTAAAACCTGAATAAAGAAGGGGTTTTAAAAAAGAGGTGGCAAGAAAGAACCAGATATGGTAAGCTAAAATGTTAAATTTATACCTGATGTAATGGGATAAGTAACAATTAACTATGAAACAGCACTCTGGTCCCACCCCTGATCTCTGATGAGACTTTTTCTCCAGCTTTATTGAGTAAAATTGACATAACATTGTGTAAGTATACAGTGTGATGATTTGATGTACGGGTATATTGTGAAATGTTTGCCATACAGTAAGGTTAACACATCCTTCACAATTAACCATTTTTTATTGGTAGGGTGTGAACATTTAAAATCTCTAGTAGAACATTCAAATATACAATACAGTATTGTTAACTATAGTCACCATGATGTATATTAGACCCCCAGAACATTAGATCCTTATACAACTGGAAGTCTTTAACGTTTGACCATCTCATTTCCCCCACCCCTCAGCTCTGGCTGTGACGAAACTAGAAAACTATAATCCCTAAGCTCCAAAGGAATTTAACGCACAGATAGGTTTAAGAGTTGCTGCAGTGGGCTGTGACTTTTAGAAAGAAATGATGATTTCAGGTGAATAGTTGACTTGGGAGTATGGTTAAAAGCACAAAGTTCAGTCATACCTGAATTAAGACTGTCCCTCTTCCACTTATTAGACAAAGCAGCTGAGCCTGTTCATCAAGATCTACCTTTCAGAATTAGATGAAACACATCAAAGCATGCTACATTGTAAAGCAATATACAAATAACTATCAGAATGGAAATGTTAAAGCAGCTAGTTCTCTTGAGCGTCTGTGAGAGATCTACATACAAAGGTTATGGGATATGTCTGAAGCCAGACGGGGTAGGAATGGCAATAGAATGAGGTTATTACCACAGATTTCAGGGCGTTCAAGAAAGACATGAGCAGTTTAGGTGCATTCAAATGAAGACTGGAGAAGGGATAATGGAGAGGTCACTTATGACTGTTAATATGTTTTGATGAAAATATGCTTAGTGTTAAGAGATGGATGATGACACTGAAGAGTATTAAATGGCTTGAGAAGTCTGGTTAGTAGTTGGGGTAGCAGGCTCATAGGATTTGCCAAGTTAGGAGTCTCTTAGTAATCAACTAGAGCTTTAGTGGCTACCATATGAGCTTTAATATTATATTTGATGATGACTATTTGCTGAAGGTAGCTGTAAGTACCTTCCTAATGACAGTAAAATTCATCTTAAAACACTGCCCTTAATATGTTAGACACTGCAAATGGCAGAAAAAACTTACAAACAGTGCAGACTGGTATTGGGAAAAGAGTCATGAAAAAGAAAAATGGCTTTGAGAGGGCTGACAATCTTGTCTGGAAGTCAGGCTTGAGTTAGCTTAAGTATTTAATATGAGATATGTAGAATATTATTGAAAACGTAAAGGCAGGTTTGGGAGTGGCGAGTGAGGGGTAAAATCGAGTAAATGATAGATTGTCTTTAAAAGACCTACTTTGGCTGCTGCATAGACAAGAGTGGGTGGGTGGGAGGCCAGTTAGAAGAGTTATTTAGAAGTTGACCTAATTCTCCAAGACAACAAATGGTTAATGCATTGGGTGCTAGCATCACAATGGATAATCTGAGCTCAGGAAATTGGCAAAGTCCTAAGGAAAGCATGGCTTGTCTGGTTTACTGACAGAAATAGGAAGGTATGTGAGGATTTTATGTATGGCACTGGAAAAATGTATAGCAGTTGAATGGTGACAGACGTCATTTCATGTAAGTATTTGAGTAGGCTCTTTGTGGGGGCAGTTTAAAATGAAAAAAAGTCATTCAATAATATAGTATCAAATCTTAAGTTTTTCCATAAATAATGCTCAGTTTGGTATTTTATGAGTTTTAATGTGGTTCTATTTGCAATTAAAACCTCTTCAGCCTTATTTCATCTTTATGAGATTCTGAATGTGGTACCTAAGGCACTTCTACTTAAAAAGGAGCCATGAGCAGCTCTGCTTCATTTTTGCTGTCATTTACTTTCCTATGGCTTTAATGATGTTTTTGAAGGCAGAGGTTTTAATGTCAATTTATCAACAAACACTAATAGTCTGCTCATCTGTAAAACGAGATATCTGAAACAGCCAGAGGTTGGCTGACTATTTCTCTGCCTAAACAGCCTCTCCCTATAGTTGGCTTGAAACAGCACATCATGGTCATATGGTAGTAAAGACTTCTTAAATGGCAACTGGCTTCCACTGGAGTGAGCGTTCCCAAAGGCACAGGTGGAAGCTGCAAGGCGTGTCATGACTAGTGTTGGGTGTCACTTCTGCCCTATTCTATGGTCAAAAATGAATGTAGGTCTAGTCCATACTCAAGGGGAAGGGACCATACTGTTCATTGAAGGGCTATATTTGGGAGACTAGCTACACAGAGAATTTGAGGATCCCACTGGGTTACTTATATTCCACCTAGGGGAAATCCAGATTTCATACTGTTTGAAGCATATATAATTTGGAGGGCTTTCTTGAAAAATTTAAGTGGCCAGTGCAATGAGAGGCCCTAAAGCTAGTGCTTAACTTCACAGTTAATCTGCTTCTGACCCTGCCCCACTTTCAAATCAGCTATGGTAAAGGAGCAAATGTGGCTTGGGGGTCCCACCTACATTTGTGTTCTAGGATAATTTCTCGACAAGAATGAATCATGAACTTTCCCCATGCCTCACCAGAAGTGTTCATTGTTCAGTTCAATATCACTTGTTCATGTGAATGTCAAGAACCCAGGTCTCCTGACTTCCTACAGTGGTTTTTCAAATATACCATATT